TGGAGAGTTTGGGGATTTGGGTTATGTTGCTCCAGAGTACACAAGAACTCTGATGGCCACTCCAAAAGGGGATGTTTACAGCTTTGGTGTTGTGCTTCTTGAGCTAGTAACTGGTGAGAAACCTACTAATGTGGCTAATGCTCCGGAAAGCTTTAAGGGAAATCTAGTGGAATGGGTTATGCACTTATCGAGTAATGCACAACTCCAAGATGCGATTGACAAGTCTTTGATTGGGAAGGGTTCTGACAGTGAACTTCTTCAGGCTCTTAGCATCGCACGCAAGTGTGTTTCATCAACTCCTAAGGAGAGGCCTACCATGCTTGAAGTATACCAATTCTTGAGAGCTATTGGTGAGCGATATGATTTTACCACCGAGGATGAGATTTTTATGCCATCAGACAGTGGTGATGTTAATTATCTTCAGGAACTTATTGTAGCTCAAGAAACTAAAGGAAAATAGTTGATAAGGTACGAGATATGTTAGTGGTATATGTCACTTTACTTTATATGCAAGTATTTTTTCTTCATGCAGGCTTAATACTTGTTAATATTAAATGTATTTTGATATTTCAGTTACTTGTTTAATAGGTTTGTACCTAGATACCACCAGAATGGCAGAACTCTGTTGCCCCCACGAATTATTTCCATTTTAGGTCTATCTTTTAATATGAAATTTGATAATTTTCCTATTCCAGAGCTTGTCTTTATTTGTTGGTCCTTTTTGTTATGGTAACAAATGGGATCATGGGGTTCAGAATATTGTGTTGCCTTATACAATGGATGTGCTAGCTCTAGTAAGCACATGTGGCATGCGTGAATGATTCACTACTGTTATCTTAAAGTAGTGATTCCAAGTGAAGGATGGGTAGTGGCTTATTAGTTGTACATTTTTTATTAAATATTTTTAATTTGATTTTATAACTAAGTTTATTGAATTTTGTTTTATAACAACTTCACTATAGCTTTAGAATCAAGTTTTCTAGGAAGTTGATAGTACTAGAAAGGAAAATGATTCACATGTGCAAGATTTGGAGCCATAAGTCTCTTACCACCTTTAGACAAACTATAATGTTCCATAGTTAACAAAGTATGTGTTAGCACTTAATGTTTTATGACTATTCTAATGATAGATATCATCTGCTTGTA